GCTCCCGGTTTACTCCGGGAGTGGTCTTCCTGCCTGGGGTTGCTCCTGCTGATGGGCTGGCTCGGCTCTTGGCTGACAGAGGCTGATTGACGGTGGGAAAGACACACAGAGCTCGCTGCTTTCCCGGAGACGGCCTGAGCTTCCCCTCCCCATCTTCCCTTCCTACCTCTCCCCTCTCTCCCCTGACCCTGTTTCCCCTCCCCTCATCTACCTTCTCCTGCCCCTATCTCTCCATTACCCCTCCCCTGTCCCGTCTTCCCTCCCTTCTCCCCGCCTCTCCTGCCCTCCCTGTCTCCCCTCCCTCTCCCCTCCCTCTCCGTCTCCCTTCCCGAGGCTCACACACAGCGGCCGCCCTGCACCGTGCAGCCGGTTTCTTTTCTCTATCTCGGGCTTCGTGTCCCGGCGGGCGGCCATGGCTCTAGGTTTACTCCCGTTGTTGTTGCTTGCGCTTTGCAGAATGAGTGCAGCCCGCCAAGAAATGCGAGGTAAGAGAAGGGGTAAAACTGAAGCTGCCCGCAGCTTCCAGTCTCGGAAAAGTTTCCTTGGGCGGCCGAGGGCTTTCCCGGGATCGAAGCGTTTTGGGATCCTGCCTCTGACCGTTACTTGCCCCGTTCCCAGGACACAGTGCTGGCCTGTGTGGGGATGAGAGGACAGGGAATTGGCAGAGTCATTTCAAACTGCAGACTTTCCCCACTTCAACATCGTCCTGAACTCGGATTTGAAATCCGGTGTCTGGTTCCTCCCCAAACCTCAGCTCTCTTGGCTAGGGGGTTGGGGGGGGAAACCTGGAATACAGGAATAGTATTACCACAGGGGATTCCCAAAGTCTGTGTCTGTTTACCTAGCAAGGGTAATGAAATCAACTTGTATTCATTTATATAGCGTCGTTAACACGCCGGGGCGTTCGGTTAAGGAAACAGAGAATCAAGTTCCGCTCGAATGAAAGCAAAACTCAACAGATGCTGGGAATCTGAAACAAACAAGAGTGCAGGAGAAATCTCCGCAGGTCTGGCAGCCTCTGTGCAGAGACAGAGAGAAACTCTTCCTCAGGCTCGGGGCTTCAGCACATTTCACAGCGTCCTCTGTATTTAAACCCATTTCCACTGGCCGGAGCGTCTGGGGGATTAGGAAAATCAGAGCTTGCCCTTTCAAGGATGAAGTCAGGAGAGGAAGCATATGTAAACTCAGAAGGTGCCAGTGCTAACATCTACAGATGGCAGTTATTGCGTTTTTTTCGCATTAAATGGCAATTCTTAGATTCATCCAAAGATGCAAACAAACTTTGGGGCAGTGACAGACAGCCCTGGACTCTGTGTGATGCAACCACAGCTGGAGGAGCTAAATAACTAACAAGCACCTTAATCCCAACCCACAGGAACCAAATTCTCAAACCTTAAACCCTTAGCCTTCCAAGAATCTTCTGTTTTTCAATAAGGCCTCCTCTCACTCACGTAAACTCCAATGAATATAGGAACAAAAACAAAGTTGCTGGAAAAGCTCAGCAGGTCTGGCAGCATCTGTGGAGGAGAAAACAGGGTTAAGGTTTCGGGTCCAGTGACCCTTCCTCAGAACATTTACCTCCAATGAATATAGGCCTTTCTCAACCTCAACCCCGCCCCCACCACCACCACCACCACCACCACCATCACCACCACCACCACCACCTTAAGACAGTCCCTCCATACTCAGGATCAACTTAATGATTCTTCTCTGGACTGCCCCAACACTAGTGTATCTGTTATTCATTAAGGGGAACAAAACTGTTTATTTTAGGTGTGATCTGATGGGTGCCCCAGTACTGGCACAAATGCCCATGAAGTGAACCCATTCCTTCCACACCAATCCTTGAGATTGATTGATTTTGTTGTCACGTGCACCGAAATACAGTGAAAAGCTTTGTTTATGGGTTGTACAGGCAGATCACAGCAAGCAAAGGATACACAGATCAAAAAGACTTGGAGGCATACAGGCTACATTATTTGAGGCTAGAGTCCATTTGAGAGGCTAATAACGGCCAGAAAGAAGCTGTTCCTGAACTCGCTTGTGCGTGTGTTCAGGCTTCTGTATCTTCTGCCTGAGGGAAGAGGTTGTAGGGGAACATTACCAGGGTGCGATGGGTCTTTGATGATGTTGGCCACCTTTCCACAGCAGCGAGCTGTGTAAATAGAGTCCATGGATGGGAGGTTGGCTTTTGTAATGGTCTGGGCTGTGCACACCACCTTCTGTAGTTCCTTATGGTCCTGGGCAGAACAGTTGCCGTACCAGGCCGTTATGCACCTGGACAGCGTGCTTTCAATGGTGCTTCTGTAGAAGATGGTGAGGGATCTTATGAACAAGGCAAATTTCCTGAGCTGCCTGAGGAAGAAGAGGTGTTGTTGTGCCTTCTTGGCTGTTGCATTTACATGGGAAGTCCAGGACAGGTTATTGTCACTGCGAGGAATTTAATGCTCTCCACCCTCTCAACCTCAGTTCCATTGATTAGATGGGGCGTGCTCTCCTCCTTTCTTTCTGAAGTCAATGCTCAGTTCTTTAGTTTTGCTGACATTGAGAAACAGATTGGTTTCCTTGCATCGTGTGACCAATCCCTCTATCTCCTGTTTAATTCCTTAATTTTACTTACGCTTTGCCAGATGTCCTGAACCCTACAACCTAGCAGGCTACACAACCTTCAGGACTCTCACTCATGGCTGCGGAGAACAATATCTATTCCCCCAGTTGTATTATCACCTACCACAAGAACGTTCCCTATTGCCTCCTCCCCACTTGAATGGCTTAATACTATTGGACAGTTGTACAAACAGAGGCACATCGAGAGCTGCCCCTTGGCTTCCAATACTCGCTTCATCTGCAGTCACATCATCCAGTCCTTGATCACAGACCATATTTGAAAGACCTGATCTTAGGGCTATTACCGCCTTCCGGAGCATAGTGGCCAGTAACCTTCCGCTTCCTCATGGTGCAATGTCTGTAGCTTGAATTCCATCTCGTCAACTCCGATCCAGAGTTCCTCATGCTGTAAACGCAACAGATGTGAATCACAGGACAATGGATAGATTATCTCTTGTTGGAGATGGCCCTTGCCTGGTCCTTATCCAGCACTTGAGAGTGTAACATCTGTGCCACACAAATACCAGGCAATGACCATCTCCAACAAGAGAGAATCTAACTATCACTCTTCACATCAAAGGCTTTACATCACTGAATCCCTCGTTATCAACATTCTAGGGTATTACTGCTGACCAGAAACTTGTAGCTGCAGGTGCAGGTCCGAGGCTAGGAGTCTTGCAGTGGGTAACTCACCTCCTGAATCCCCAAAGCCAGTTACACCAAATACAAGGCATGGATCAAGAGTGTGATGGAATACTGCCCACTCACCTGGATGGGTGCAGCCCCAACAATGCCCAAGAAGCTCAACATCATCCAGGACAAATAAGCTCCTGCTTGATTGGCACCACATCCCTAAACATTCACTCCCACCACCACCAACACTCAGTAGTTGTAGTGTATACTATCTACCAGATGTACTACAGCAACTCAACAAAAGTCCTTAGACAGCACCTTCCAAGACCACCACCACTTCCATCTCGAAAGACAAGAACAGCAGATATATGGAAACACCACCAGCTGCAAGTTTCCCTCCCAGCCATTCACCATCCTGACTTGAAAATATATCGCTGTTCCTTCATGTCATTGGGTCAAAATCTTGGAACTCCCTGCCTAACAGCATTGTGGGTCTGACTGAAGTGTTTACGCTATGCCTGAGGAAGAAGCAGAGCTTCGAAAGCTTGTGTTTTCAAATAAACCTGTTGGACTATAACCTGGTTTTGTGTGATTTCTGACCTTGTCCACTCTTTATTCACTCGTGGCTTGGAGGAGATTGTACAGATCTGTTTATTCCCATGTATTGGCTGCCCTTATCCTTCTTTACACTTTATTGTAATTTTTCATTTTTTTGTACACCAGTATCAACCTTATATATAACAAACTATTAGGAAAGAGAGAGTAAGACTAGATACTGGAACACAACTGATGGCCTTGTCTTTACTTCATTGACTGTAAATAGCCACTAATCAGCTGCTTTGTTTAGGCAAAAGCAACCGAGCCTGCCCCTTCTTCAGTGACTAGGAGATAGTAAGGACTGCAGATGCTGGAAGTCAGAATCAATAAAATGTGGAGCTGGAGGAGCAGGAAAATTGACGTTTTGGGTCTGGACCTGTCATCAGGACTGGGAAGGGTGAAGGGAGCTCAGAAGTAAATGGGGGGATGGGGCTGGGGAAGGTGGGTGGGATGGGGAAGTTGGATGCAGATGGGGATTGTAGAGATTGGTCAGTGTGAAGGGTAGAGCAGATTGGTGAGAAGAAAGATGGACAGGTTTTGTCAGGTCAAGGAGGCGGAGATGAGAGGGAGGGCTGGACATGGGATGAGGACAGGGGGTGGGGAGATCTTGAAGCTCGTGAACTCAATGTTGAGGTCATTGGGCTATAAGCTCCCAAGGCAAAATATAAGGTGTTGTTCCTCCAGTTTCTGTGCGGCCTCATTTTGATAGTAGAGGAGGCCCAGGATGGACATGTCGCCAAGGGAGTGGAAGGTGGTGTTGAAGTGGCTGGCAACTGGAAGATTGTGTTGATCGGAGCGTACAGAGTGCAGAAACTCCGCGAATCAGTCACCAAGTCTGTGCTTTGTTTCTCCAATATAGAGGAGATCACATCGGGAGCAACAGAAGACCTACAGGTTAATCTCTGCTGGATTTGAAAGGATTAACCTGTGAGGCGAGAGGAGAGGTGTAGGGGCAGGTGTAGCACTTTGAGCAGTTGCAGGGAAAGTTTGCTGGGGAGTGTGGAGCTGATGAGGGAGTTGCAGAATAAGCGGTCTCTACAGAAAGCAGATAGGGGTGGGGAACGAAATATCTTTTTAATGGTGAGGTCCAATTGCAGGTGATGAAAATGGTGAAGGATGATGCGTTGGATTTGGAGATTGGCCTCAATATAGAGTTCACCAGTTTTAAAATCTCTCTATGTCCCTCTCATCCCCACCTCCTTGACCTGACACAACCTGTCTATCTTCCTTCTCACCTATCTGCTCCACCCTTCCCACTGATCAATCTCTGCAACCTTCTACCTGCATCCACTTATCATCATCCCATTTACCTTCACCCCAGCCCCACCACCCCCCGTTCTATTTAATTCTGAGCTCCCTTTCCCTTCCCCAGTCCTGATGAAGGGTTCAGACCCGAAATGTTGACTTTCTTGCTCCTCTAATGCTGTCTGACCTGTTGTGCCCCTCCAGCTCTACATTTTATCGACTCTGCCCCTCCAGCTCTACATTTTATCGACTCTGCCTCTCCATCCTGTACGCTGCAGCACTCTATTGTAGGCTACGCTCAATAAAATACTGGAGCAGAAGCAGGCCATTTAGCCCATTGAGTCTGCTTTGCCTTTCAATGAAACCATGACTGATCTGATAAAAGTCATTCTAACTTGGCTCCTTATATATGCACCAAAACACAAAGGGCCTATCTGAGTCCATTATTGAGGATCCACGTTCACCTCATTCTTAATTAGGTGCTCTTTTAATGGAACCTTTGAAAATGAACCTGCTCAAAGTTCACAACAACAAAATTTAAATTGTAGATTTAATTTTAAGATGCAGTATAACATTGGATAAATGTGAAGTTGTTCACTTTGATAGAAAAGCAGAAAGGCAGAGTATTCTTCAAATGGTGATACGTTGGGAACAGTTATGTATAGTGGGATCTGGGTTTACTTGTACACCAGTCACCGATAGTAGGCAAGCAGGTGCAGCAGACAGTTAGGATGGCAATTGGTATGTTGGCCCGTCATTGCAAGAGGATTTGAACTCAGGAACAAGGAATTCTTACTGCATAGTCCTACAGGACTTGGTGAGATTACAGCTGGAGTATTATGTACTGTTTTGATCTTTTTACCTAATAAGAGGTATATTTTCCATAGAGGGAGTTCAGTGAATGTTCACCAGACTGCTTCTTGGAATAACATAATTGTCATGTGTTAGATCAACTGGGCTTGTATTCACTGGAGTTTAGAAATGTGAGAAGAGATCTTGTTGAAATGTATACAATTCTGGCACAGCTGGACAGACTGGATGCAGGGAGGATGTTTCTGCTGATTCAAGGGTTCTAGGACAAAGGGTCACAGTCTCAGGATACCTAGCTAGTTCGGACAGAGATGAAAAATTTTATTACTCAGAGGATGGAAAAACAATGGACTTCTCTACCACAGAAGAGGCTGTAGAGGCCAAATCACTAATTATGTCTAGGCAAAAAAAGAAGATTTCTAGAGGCTAAAAGAATCAAGGAGTATGGGGATAGGGTAGGAATATGGCATTGAAATAGAGGATCAGCCAGGATAATGTTGACTAGTAAAGTGGGCTGAATGGGCCAAATGGCTGCCTCCTGTTCCTATTTTCTATTTTCCTATTCTAGAACTTCTCCTTAAATGTCTGCCACTGCTTCTGTATTGATGTATCTCCTAGTTTACTTCAACTTTCATGCTCACATAGTTGCCCTTGTTTAAGTTTAAACTACTAGTCTTAGACCCACCCTTCTCCCTGTCAAACCAGATGTAAAATTCAATCATACTGTGGTCACTGCTGCACTGATGCTTTTACTCTGAGGTAATTCATTAATCCTGTCACGTTACCTGATCACAAGTCTAATATAAACTGCTCCTTGATTGATTCCAGAATGTGGTGCTCTTAGAAACTGTCTTGAAATCATTGTATGATTTCATCTTCAACTAGGCTACCATTGTTAATCTGATTTTTCCAGTTGATAATATGGATTAAAAACACCCATGGTTATTGCTGTCTTTTTATCACAAGGACCCAATATTCTTTTACTTTCTCCCACATTGTGATTCTGTTGAGGGTGGTGGGGGGAAGGGTGGGGGGAGGTGATTGCTGTTGACCACTCAAACTACATCCCAATCTCCTGAAGTAAAGTCATCTCTCAGTGTTTTACTAATGCCATACTTGATGAACAGTGCCACCCCTCCACCTCTACCAAGCTTCCTATTCTTCTTGACTGTCACAGACTCTCCGATATTCAGGACCCAAATCCTTGTCATACACCAAGCACATTTCCCTAATCGCTATCAGATCACATTTATTACTTCACTGTGTGTTATCAATTCATTTGCTTTGAGTGCTGTGTGTATTCACACACAATGCCTTTAGTTTTATCCTTGTCTTATCTTGTAACATTTACTCTTGATTATTGGTGCATTCTGTGGATTTTCTCTTTGTATCCTTTCCTTCCATTCTCTGACGTTCATTTCCTATATTACTATTCTGTTGTGCTGACATATATCCAACCTTGAACGACCCCCTCTTGTTTAATTTAAAGCTTTATCCACCTCCTTAGTTATGCGGTTTGCTGGAACTCCAGTCCCAGCACCATTCAGTTGTACAACATCCTACTAATATTTCTTTAAGCTGCATTGCTGTGCAGTCCCTCTGAGGTTCCGGTCACCCCAGTCGACGTGTTGACATATTGACTTCCACAAATCTTGGAAGGAGTTTTGGTTCCAGTGCCTCAGATTCCCCTTTTCCCAGCACTGATGCTAGTGCCCAAAGAGCCAGAACCAAGCTCTCTCACACCAGATCTTGAGGCACATATGAATTTCTCTGAACTCATTTGCTCAATGCCAATTCCATTATTCATTTTATTCATTCACGGGATGAGGGCGTCGCTGGCTAGGCAGCATTTATTGCCCATCCCTAATTGCCCAGAGGGCAGTTAAGAGTCAACCACATTGCTGTGGGTCTGGAGTCACATGTAGGCCAGACCAGGTAAGGATGGCAGTTTCCTTCCCTAAAGGACATTAGTGAACCAGATGGGTTTTTCCTGACAATCAGCAATGGTTTCATGGTCATCATTAGACTCTTAGTTCCAGATATTTTATTGAATTCAAATTCCATCATCTGCCATGGTGGGATTCTAACCCAGGTCCCCAGAACATTATCTGGGTCTATGGATTAACAGACCAGTGATAATACCACTACGCCATCGCCATATTGCATATGGCTCATGTAGTAATTCAAAGATTATTACCTTTGATGTTCTGCTTTCTAATTTAGCACCTAGCTTCTCACTCCCTCAGTAGAACCTCTTTCCTAATTCTATCTATGTCATTGGTACTGATGTACAACCACTGGAGCCTCCTCCTCCCACTGCCAGTTCCTCTCCAGACCAGAGGCTGATATCCCAAACCCTGGCACTGGACAGACAATATAGTTGTCTGGATGCATGCCCTTTGCCTCAGAGAACAATGGCATTACACTGTCCCCTATTGCCACTAAATTCCTTTCTGCTGCCTTTGTTGAATGGCACCACGGTGCCCTGATCAATTAGCTCATTCTCCTAGAAGCACTTACTCTCATTAAAACAAATTGAAAGTATCTCAAATCTGTTGGACACTTTGCAAAGACTGAGGCTCCTGTGCTCCTGCTGTTTGGGTCCCCTTAGCTGCCTCACTGGTAGTTGTACTCCCCTGTCGCTGACTACTGGTCGAATCAGATAACTGTATCCACAGGAGTGTTACCACAACGTAGAATGAGGTGTCCAGATAATGTCCCCCTTCACACTGCTTCTATAGCTCAGTCTGCAGTCCATTGGCTCTGAGCTGAAGTTCCTGCATCAGCTGACACAAACTACACATGTGTTCACTCTGGATCACACTGGCATCCAGAGACTGCCACATCCCACAGTCACAACGCATCACCTTCCCTGCTAATTTCATAGTGACTTAGCTGATGAATAATAGCTTAATTGATTTATAGTTCATAATTCATAATTATGAAACACTGCACCTCCCAGTAAATTTTACCAATACCTGATAAAGAGCTTACAATGACTTAAAAACCAAAAGAACTGCAGATGCTGGAAATCAGAAACAAAAGTAGAAATTGCTGGAAAGGCTTAGCAGGTCTGGCAGCATCTGACAATCTGAGACAAGTCAGAGTTAACATTTCGGGTTCAGTGACCCTTCTTCAGAACAGCTTACAATAATTAATAGTTCTGTATAGTTCAGCCAATGGTATCACTTTCTGGTTAATAACCTCAGGTGGCTTCCCCCATTATATTTGGAGTCAAAGGGTGGACATTGAGAGGTGCTATGAGAAAACATCATCTTCAGTTTACCTCAGTGAATGTCTGTCCTTCAATTGTGATTTAAGTTGAGCACATTTCCATATTTTTTTCTTCTTTGGATTTCCATTGTTCAGTTGTCTTTCTGCTTTGACCGTTCCTTCTATCTCTGTCCCAGCAGTGATTGATTTTGGATCAGTGCACAATGTGAAACAAGAGGCCTCAATAGTGGAGAAACTGGCCACAGAGATTCTAACGGTGAATGAGCTCTTTGTCCTGTCTGTATTCAGGCTGCCACCCAGACAGGGTGGTATTCTGCTGGGGTTCTATGCCAAGAGAGACAACATGAGATACCTGGAGGTCACTGTGATGGGCAAGATCAACAGAGGTAAGAAATGGGCATCATAAATGTTACCATTGTGATAGGGATAGTGCCATGTTAGGGGGTATGAAGAGGATGGCGTAGTGAGGGGGATGGGAGGAAAGGAGAGATGATGGTGAGGATATGGCAGGGTGGAATAAGGAAAGGAAAAAGAGCAGCTGATTAATGTGTTAACTCTCACTTCTACATAGTGCTTGTCCGCTACCTGAGAGAAGATGGGAAGACTCAGTCTGTGAATTTACAAAATGCAAACTTGTCAGATGGAAACCCTCACTCCATCATCCTGAGGATCAGTGGCCTCCAGCATGACCTGATCACCATGGAGCTGTATGTTGACTGCAGACAGATGGATTCCAGTGTGGGGCTCCCAGCGATGGTGACTATCCCTCCAGAGCAAGCAGACACGATCGATGTACGGACTGGTCACAGGGCTTACACACGGATGCAGGTGAGCTCAAGCCATGAAACAAATGGAAAGTACAGCAACTTGGTCAGTGATCACAGCTAGTTAGCTCTCACAGCATCCTTTCCAGGGGCAACTGGATGTTTCCCAGTCCTTGTGAGCAAACACCTTGTCAATTAGACAGAGACTCTCAGCAGCTCAGGAAGACTGAGGAGATGGGAGGTGGGAGATGGGCTATGTGCTTGGATGAAGAGGTAAATGGGGTGAAGTACTAGAAACAATGAATCCTGGGGAGAGTTGATGGAATCTGAGTATGTCTTGGCCTGCCTAGTTTTTGAGTAACCTGGATTAACCCTGGAATACTCATCCCGTTACCTGGTCCTGCTGGCTAAAATGCAAAGTGTGACATGATCTTCCTAAACTTCACTAGATCATGATGAGGACAAGGATTTCTTGTATAGGATTGGATAACAGAGCAACATTAACAACTCACAGCAGGTTGGGATTGTGTGAACTGTTCAGTATCAATACATGATATTAAAAAAGGAGCCATTCAGCCCTCCTTCTCACCCAACCCCCACCCATGCCTTAACTGCTAATGCTGTTTACTGATCAGATGATGACAAGGATTTCCTGCTCTGCAAAGATTTTGATCGGGCAGGAGCAGCAATCTTCTCCACTCATCCGAATTCAACCGCTCCTGATCCTGTGAGGAGCTGGCTATTTGACCTCAGGGTCCGAGAAGGCTGGCCTACTGATTCACTCATCCACCCAATTAGCCATCACTCACAATTTCAATATCTTCCACCCAATTATCATCATTCCCAATGAGGACCTACACATCTGTCTTAGAGGAATTTTGTGGGTAAAGTGGTAAGACAAAAACAATGGACATGAGTCTTCAAGGATTCTGTCCTGCCAAGTATGCAGCTTATGATGTTCTCCCTTCAGCTTTGATGATTGGAACACATTGACAGAATTTCCTGACTCGAGACCAAACAGATTGACTACTTGGAACTAACCAGGAAACCTGTTCACATGGTGACTATAGAAAATATATCCAAGACAATCTGAAAGCGTTTGTGGAAACCTGCTATCTTAACATCAATACATGGGAAACAAAGGCTAAATTATTACCAAGATTGCAATTTATCATTGAAAAAGACATCAAAGCTGTGCAATTGATCAAAGAAGTGGCTGTGTAAGGACAGTGTGAGAAACAGGATGAGAAGGCAACAGCATTAGCCAACAATGTGCTATTGACTTTATCAGCTGACAATCATTGCACTTACTGTGTGAGAGGCTCAATAACCAGCTGTGAACTCACAACCACCCTTTCATATCTCACTTAGTTCATTATACCTTGAAGCAGGAAGAGGCCACTCAGCCCTTGAGTCTGCTTTCCATGCGATGAGATCACTGTGGATCAACTCCACTTTCCTGCCTTTCCCCATAATCCTTATTCCCTTACTGATTTAAAAATCTCTCAATCTCAGCCTTGAGTATACTTAATGTCCCACTCCTCTGTGATAAAGAATTCCACAGATTCATACCCTCTGAGAGAAGAAATTCCTCCTTATTTCTAACTTAAAAAAGGCAACTCCAAGAGATGATGACTTTCCCAAAAGGGGAAGCAACCTTTCCATAATTACTGTTTCAACTCTTCCCCCTAAGAATCTTGTATGTTTCAATAAGGTTCCCTCTGATTATTTTAAACTCCGATGAGTACAGGCCTAATTTGCAAAACCTCTCCTCATAAGAAAATCCCTCCAGACGTGACATCAACCTGGTAAACTTTCTCTGTACTGCCTCCAATGCTAGTACATCTTTCCTTAGGCAAGGGAATAGGGTGTGGTCTGACTAGTTCCATGTATAATTTTAGCAAAACCTTTCTACTTTTATAGTCCATTCCCTTTGAAATAAGAGCCAACATTGTATTTGCCGTCCTAATATTTGCTGAACTTGGATGCGAGTTTTTTGTGACTCATGCAAGTGGACTCCCAAATATCTCTGTGCTGCAAGTTTCTGCAGACCCTCTTCATTTAAATAATATTCAGCTCCTTTCTTCTCCCTGCTAAAGTCTACAAACTCACATTTTCCTGCATCTGCTAAGTTTTGCCCATTCACCTAACCTGTCTGTGTGCCTCTACAGACTCGTAGTGTCAATCTCACCACTTGCCTTCCCAGCTATTTTTTTGTGTCATCTGTAAACTTAGCTAAGGTATATTCACTTTCCACATCCATGTCATTTAATATATACTGTAAGTAATTGTAACTCCAGCACTGATCTCTGTGGTACTCCACTAGCTACATGTTGCCATCCTGAAAATTTCTCCCTCTATCCTAACTCTCTATCTTCTCTAAGGTTCTGGAGTAGATTTGTAGCTGGGGTTGAGGGTGTTGTGTTTGGTTGGCTCACCGAGCTGGTTCGTTGTTCTGCAGACGTTTCATTACCCTGCTGAGTAACATCATCAGTGCAGCCTCCGATGAAACGCCAGTATATTTTACTGCCTGTTATTTAAACTCTAGTGTCCATTGAGCTGGGTTACCCAACTTCCGGTTTTCCTTCGCAATGGAGTATATAAAGGATCTAGCTGTATGTGTTTTGTTGATGGCCTTCTTAGTGGAGTACCAGGCTTCTAGGAATTCCTGTGCTTGTCTCTGCTTTGCCTGTCCCAGGATCCTGATGATGTCCCAACTGATATGGTTGTTTTCCTTATCCATGTGGATGGAGATGAGTGAGTATTGGTCGTATCTTTTTGTTGCTAGTTGATGTTCGTGTACTCTTGTGTACACGATGCCTAATACACAAATGACACCAGGAAGATACTGCACGCCCCGACACACTCATCACACTACCTTAGATCAGGAACACGTCTGAACTGACCACAAGACTCCTACAACCGCTGGGCATTACAGTAGCACGCAAACCCACATCAACCCTACGCCAACTGCTCATCCAGACCAAAGACCCACTACCCACTATGGACAGGACAAATGTCGTATACAAGATTCCCTGCAAAGACTGCGACAAACACTACATTGGACAAACAGGAAGGAAATTAACCACAAGGGCACACAGGCGAAGCAGAGTCAGGCACGGGAATTCCTACAGGCCTTGTTCTCCACTAAGAAAGCCATCAATAAACACATAGAGCTAGACCCTGTATACACTCGATTGCGAAGGAAAACCGGAAGTAAGATAATCCAGCTCAACAGACACCAGAGTTTAAATAACAGGTGAGAAAACACAACGGCGCTTCATCGGAGGCTGCACTGATGATGTTACCCAGCAGGGTAATGAAACGTCTGTGGAACAACAAACCAGCTCGGCGAGCCAACTTACCATAACATCTCTAACTTCTATTTGTTAGCCAACCCTCTATACACATTAATAAACTTCCTTAGCATCATGGACTCTGATCTTAGTAAGTATCCTATGTGTGGTACTTTATTCAACTTTTTTTTTTGTTTTTTGGAAATCCAAATATATTATAACTACTGATCTCCTTTATCGATCCAGCTTGTTACCTCCTCAAAGGATTCTAAGATTTGCCAGGCTTGGTTTCCCCTTCATCTTGTATTAAAGAAGGTAGCCCAGCCTCTTTTCCTTCTGCCTGTCCTTTTGAAAAACCACATGCCCTGGAATATTTAACCCTCAGCTTTGATCTCCTTTGTCTTTGTAAAGGCTATAAGATCGGTATTTGTGTGGTTAGTTGATCTGTTTTGTTCTGAATTATGAATGGCTCACAACAATCTGAATCTGCAGTGTGTCATCTCAGGATGCTATACCCATTATTCTTAATTCAGGAACTGAACTTCTGGTATCCATCAATTAGCAAGTTACATAATTAATCTGTAGGAGTTGACAATTGTTTTGATTTAAAGATATATTTTGTTCATTATATAAAAGAGAAATAAAATAATTGAATGAGTGAAATGATGCTTTTGTTCTGTATTCAGGGCTCATTGGAGGAATTGAAGTTATTCCTGGGAGGGACAGTGGTCCGTGTTGGTGCATTGCAGGAGTGTCCATTTCAGAGGGACGATGCTGTAAGGAACATGGGTATGATTTAAGTTCAACTGCACTATTTCCCTAAAACTCCACTAACAAACTTCCACAGCTACTTTTAATGATTAACAGACTGGGCAGGACATCTTTCTCAGGGCTTTTTGACATTCCATAAGCTATAAAGTCTGTCAGGTGTTTATCTGTGATTTAATCTGATTCAGGTCTTTCCTTAAACATGTGTTTTCCCCAAGGTTGAATGAGGGTTGTAGGCTCAGTTTCCTGCATGAATAGGTGTCCTGTGCCCAAACCCCAATGTTGTCCAATATCTACTACTTGGCTTTGGTGACCATTTTCTATGCCCTGACTGTCTGCTGTCTTGTAACAGTCTGCAGCATACACTGACTTTTCCTAAAGTCTGTGTCCCAAGTTCAGTTTCTGATATTTGTTTCCAGTGCCTGGATCCAGTGATTGGCTGCAATGGCCAGTTTTTGTGAATGGTATTGTGTATCCACAGTTTCATGGCTCAATATCAGGGGTTCGGGTTTCCCTGTCTGTGTTTTTTTAATTCAATCATGGGACGTGGGCATTGCTAGCTGAGCCAGCATTTATTTCCTATCCCTAGTTGCCCTCGAGAAGGTGGTGGTGAGCTGCCTTCTTGAACCACTGCAGTCCATGTGCTGTAGGTTGACCCACAATGCCCTTAGGGAGGGAATCCCAGGATTTTGACTCTATGATGCTGAAGGAACGGCAGTATATTTCCAAGTCGGATGGTGAAGTGGCTTGGAGGAGAATGTGTAGTTGGTAGTGTTGGCCTTCGAGATGGAAGTGGTTTTTTTTTGAAGGTGTTGTCTAAGGATCTTTGGTGAATTTCTGCAGTGCATCTTAAAGGTAGTACACACTGCTGCCACAGAGTGTCAGTGGTGAAGAGAGTGAATGTTTTTGAATGTGATTGCAAACAAGCAGGTTGCTTTGTCCTGGACAGTGTCAAGCTTCTCCAGTGTTATTGGAGCTGCAGCCATCCAGACAAGTGGGGAGTATTCCATCACACTCCTGATCTGTGCCTTGTAGATGGTAGTCAGGAATTGGGGAGTCAGGAGGTGAGTTGCTCACCATAGTGTTCCTAGTCTCTGACCTGCTCTTGAGGCCACTGTGTTTATTTGGCAAGTCCAGATGAGTTTCTAGTCAATAGTAACTCCCAGGGTGTTGATGGTAGGGATAATGTCAAGGGGCAGTGTTTAGATTGTCTCTTATTGGAGATAGTCATAGCCTGGCATTTGCGTGACATGAATGTTACTTGCCACTCGTCAGCCCAAACCTGGATATTGTCTGTCTCTTGTTGCATTTGAACATGGACCGCTTCAGTGTCTGAGGAATCGCAAATGGTGCTGAACATTGTGCAATCGTCGGTGAACAACCTCTTTCTCGTCTTATGATGGAGGGAAGGTCATTGATGAAGCAGCTGAAAATGATTGGGCCTAGGATAATACTATGAGGAACTCCTGCAGAGATGTCCTGGAGCTGAGATGATTGACTTCCCACAAGCACATCCTATGTGTCAGATATGACTCCAACCAGTGGACAGTTTGCCCCGATACCCACTGCTTCCAGTTTTGCTCGGGCTCCTTGATGTCACACTCGGTCAAATGCAGCCTTGATATCAAGGGCTGTCACTCTCACCTCACCTCTGGAATTCAGCTCTTTTGCCCATATTTGAACTGACGCTGTAATGAGGTCAGGAGCTGAGTGGCCCTGGCAGAACCCAAACTGGGCGTCATTGAGCAGGTTATTACTGAACAAGTGCTGTTGATGACACCTTCCATCACTTTACTGATGATCGAGAATAAACTAACAATGTGGTAATCGACTGGGTTGGATTTGTCCTTTTTGTGTACAGGACATATTTGGACACTTTTCCACATTGTCGGGAGCCTAGCTTGGGGTGTGGCAATTTCTGGGGCACAAGGCTTCAGTACTATTGCCGGAATGTTGTAAGGGCCCATAACCTTTGCAGTATCCAGTGTCTCCAACTTTCTTTATATCACATGGAGTGAATCCAATTGGCTGTAGACTGCTATCTGTGATGCTGGGGACATCTGGAGGAGGCCGAGATGGATCATACATTTGGCACTTCCGGCTGAAGATTGCTGCAAATGTTTCATTTTATCTTTTGTACTGATTTGTTGGGCTCCCCCATCATTGAGGATGGGGATAGTTGTGGAACCTCCTCCTCCAGTGATTTGTTTAATTATCCAGCACCATACACGACTGGGTGTGGCAGAACTACAGAGCTTAAGTCTGTGATCAGGGTACCCCATCTGCATTTGGCGGGGGAGGGGGGTCCCTGTCTGCGTTGCAGGGGGGAAAATCACTGTCTGCGTTCAGGGGGAATTCCCTGCCTGTGTTGGGACGGGTGTTCCCTTTCTGTGTTCAGGGGGGATTCTCTGTCTATGATTGGCGTTCCCTGTCAGTGTGGGGAGGGTCCCATGTCTGTGTTCAGGGGGGATTCTCTGTCTATAATTGGCGTTCCCTGTCAGTGTGGGGAGGGTCCCATGTCTGTGTTCGGGGGGGGATTCCCTGTCTTCGTTGGGGTGGGGGTGCAGCACCCTGTCTCTGAGGGATTCCCTGTCTGTGTTGGGCAGGTTCCCTGGCTGTGTTGGGGGTGGGTGTAGGGTGGTTCCCTGGATGTGTGAGAGGTTCCCTATCTGTGTTGGGGGGGACGGCATTCCCTACCTGTGTTGGGGAGGGGGGGCATTCCCTGACTGTGTTGGGGTGTGTTCCCTGTCTCTGTTGGGTGGCTGTTCTCTGTCTGTGTTTGGGGAGTCCCTGTCTGCCTTCGGGGAGTTTCCTGCCTGTGTTGGGGGTTGGGTTTCCTGCCTGTGATGGACGGGGTGGAGAGGGGAGTTCCCTGGCTGTGTTGGGGGTTGTTCCCTGTCTGTGTTGGGCTACATGGGGGGTTCCCTGTCTGTGTTGGGCTGGGTGGGGGGTTCCCTGCCTGTGTTGGGGGATTCCCTGTCTCTGTTGGAGGGGGTGGTGGTTCCCTGTCTGTGTTGAGGGATTCCAGCTCTGTTGGGGGGAATCCCTGACTGTCTTGGGGAGGGGTTTCCTGGCTGTGTGGGAGGGATTCCCTGGCTGTGTGTGTGTATGGGAGGGGGTGGTGGAATTCCCTGGCTGCATGGGGAGGGGTGTTCCCTGGCTGTGTCGGTGGATGGCAGTTCCCTGTCTTTGCAGGGGTTTGATCCCTGTCTGTGCTGCGGGGATTCCCTGTCTGTGCTGGGGGAAGTGGGGGTGAGTCCCTGTCAGTGTTTGGGGGAGGTGTTCCCTGTCAATGAAGGGGTGGTTCCCTGTCTCTGTTGGGGGTACTCTGTCTGTGTTGGGAGGGGGATTCCCTGTCTGTGCTGGGGGGAGGAATTCCCTGTCTATGTTGGGGGGGTTTCCCTATCTGTGTTGGGGGGTGAGTCCCTGTCTGTATTTGGGGGAGGTGTTCTCTGTCAATGAAGGGATGGTTCCCTGTCTGTGTTGGGGGGGGTGGAATTCCCTGTCTGTGTTGGGGGCGTGGAATTCCCTGTCTGTGTTGAGGTGGGATTCCCTGTCTGTGTTGGGGGGGAGGGATTCCCTGTCTGTGTTGGGGGGGATTCCCTGTCTGTGATCAGTGTTCCCTGTCTGTGTTGATGGATTCCCTGTCTGTGTTGATGGATTCCCTGTCTGTGTTG